CAGAATTCAGTGAAAGAACCCACTTAAAGTGACTGGTATGGAGGGGATCCTTTCCTTTCTCTTTTAGCTGTAGATCAGGTCCTGTTTTCAGCTGCAGTTTATGTTAGAAGTGAAGGGTTCTCTGTTCTTTGTCCACGGCATCCTCTCCAACAGAGACATGCGTAGTACGATGTGGCAGCGGAGTCAGAACCGCAGCTCACAGGTGTGAAAGCTTGCACGTGGACTGGCAGTCAGGCGGGAGGGGAGGCCACCAGCTTTGGGAGAATAGGTCGTCTCCGGAGCCTGCGCGGATCTACTGCTGATCGACGCCACACTTTCTGACCCTTGAGGGGAGTTGTTTGCACAGATGGCCGGCGTGTTCCTCTTCACTGTTTTATGCACACAGTTATCTGGGTGCAAACTTGTGATGCTCTCGATGCCTTTCGATCCAACTCATACGGCAGGAATGAGCAGATCTTGAAGCCTTTTTGCTTTGGGGTGTTCTCTCCTGCCCTCTCTTCTCCCTCCCTGCCCCTTTCCAGCATTTAGGCACTGCTGGAGCTCCAACAGTGGATAGCACATAGATCTCGACCTCAGAGAACTTAGTAGTGTCGTGGGGGTCACAGATAAATACTTCTAATATAATATGGAAAGTGCCGGAGTGTCCCTCATCTGCCCTAGCCTGTGACACGCCCCACAACACGGGTCAGCCCCCAAAGCACTCCCTGAGTTTAGCCTTCGCATCTTGTCACTGACCTGGTCCCACAGAGACTTTGCCAGTGCCCCCTTCCTTCCTCCCAGGACCTTCTCCCTGTCCCTGCTCCCCAGGCCATTTAGTGATGTCAAGACTAAGAAATGGACACTGGCTTTAGATCTTTATGGGGTTATTGTACTTTCATTTCACTCTGATTTTCTTGTCAAACTTGACATGGGAATGATGGCCTTTCTCCTTCTAAAAGTAAGAGGCTTTCACTTTAGGTACATATATAAGGACTCTTAAAATTAGCACTATATTGTAGAAATGTTAAAAATCAAAAGCAAACAGTTTCTCAGGCTCTCTAAAAATTCAGGAACATTAGAATATCAGAATTGTGTGACTATATGCTGCTTTTGGCAGTTTCCTCAAAAATAGGACTAAGCACAACAGTAAGCAGATCAGAGTTTGACCAAGAATCTTTACAAAGTTGGTGATCATCATGTGATTAAAATGTCCAGTTATTCCTTACAAAGATAACTCTATCATGTGATGCTATTTAGGGACTTAAGTTGTCCATTTAAGGAAATCAAAGACCAATTGAAATTTTTTCTTTGTTATTGATTCGTTGTGATTTTTGTATGTGTTTATTTTAGGACTCTAATAGAATTTCAGGGCTGTCAAATACCTACAAAAACCTTAATGCTCATTTATTTCCTTCTTGGCATTTGAAATATCACTTTATACATTGCACTCATGTTAAGTATTGAGTTATTACACTGATGATATCGTTAAGTCAGTAATTGACACCTCTCACCTTGTCAAGCATTCCATTTAATCCCGCATAAGCTTAATTCCATTTTAATAAATTCATATTATAGAAATTTGCCATTACAGAGCATAAAAATTTGGGATAGAATGAGTTATACTTTAAGTGAAGCCTCCTGTAATTGTGTTTTTTGAGATGCTCATGGGGCCGTGTCCCCGGCACTCATCCCCATGCTCCATTCCGCTCCGGTGGACTCCAGCTAGCTGCAGATGGGGGTGAGGGGGTAACGGGGTGGGCAGCAGGATCTAGCCTATGTAGTGGTGTCCTTTGGACCTCTTAAAGCTTTTTACGAAAACTTTATGACTCCTCCAAAAACTGGTTTTGGATAGAAAGGTTTTAAGTAGGTGTGCCGTGGACTGAAGGCGTGCCCTAAAATTCATGCGTTGGAGCCCTAGTCCCCATGAGATGGTATTTGGAGGCGGGGCTGCTGGGAGGTGATTAGGTCATGAAGGTACAGCCATTGTGACCGAGGTTCGTGCCCTGATAAGGAGACTCGAGAGAGGGGCTCTCTCTCGTGAGGTTTCAGCCATAAGGCAGCTGTCTACAAACCAGGAAGGGGGCCCCCGCCAGGCACCAAGTATGCGGGCGCCTTGACCTAGGACTTCCAGCCTCTAGAAGCGTGAGAAGTACGTGTTTGTGTTTAAGCCGCTCAGCCTATGGTATTGTTACAGCGGCCCAAACCAGCTAAGCCGAGGTGTAATAGTTTCTTATTGCTGCTGTGACAAAGCAACACAAACTCGGTGGCTTAAAGTAACACACATTTATCATATTACAGTCTCGTAGGTTAGGAGGACCCGACCCCCATCCCCGGGCTGAAGTCAGTGTTGGCAGGGCTGCGTTCTTTTCTGGGGAGACTAGGGGAGAAGCGTAGAGACCACCCGCATTCCTTAGCTCCCTCCCTAGTCTTCAGAGCCAGCAACATTGGGTGGAGCCCTCCCACTGCCTGCCTCCTCCGCAGCTAGGGACCCTCGTGCTTACACAGGGCCCGCCTCCCCGGGGAGCCCAGCGTCATCTCCCTGTTTTAGAGTCAGCTGACGAGCACCCTTAATTCCATCTGCTACATTGCTTCCGCTTTGGCGTGTAATCTAATATATTCATAGGTCCCAGGGATCAGGACCCCGACATCTTTGGGGGAGCGGGCATTGTTCTGATACTGCAGTAGGTATAATCCTTTTGAGATTGTGCAGTCCCCACTGTTTGTTCTACATTTAGTACAAGTTTTTGAGGCTCTGCTGTGCCCCAGGAACTGTGCCCGACACGCTCTGGGGAAGAAGGGGACTCTTCAGCCTCTAGGAGCTTGCGGTCTGACAAAGGGAGCTCAGTCCAGAACTAGCCACGTGGTCACCCCGAAGGGCTGGATGCCGAAGTGGGTGCATGTGCCTGAGCAGGCTGTGGCTATACCTGGGCGTACAGAGCGGGTGCGGGGAGGGAAGAGGGTCTCTGAGGGGGGCGTGGATTTTGCGATGGAGACAGGGTGGCGGGAAGGGAGACCCATACAACGTACGCATTGGGAAGCCCTGGGACTTGGAGCCCTTGGGGAGCGTGGTGGGGACGGAGGCCCCACGGGACCTCTGAATCGCTGAATTGTGAAGACCCTTGACTGCTGTGTTGGGAGTTTGGACTTGACCCCATTGGTTAGGGCCAGAGGTCCCACTCGGCTGCCCTTCGGCAAGTGAGCCAGCAGAGCTGCTTCCTTCGGCTGTAGTGTACTTTAAACAGAGTTCACTGCCACCGACTGTACTGCGCTCATCCACTTCCCTGGCCCTCGTGGGCAGGGGCTGGGTAAGGGGACGGAAACTATCTAAAGTTTTAAAACGGGACAGTAACTTGATCGGATCTTGCATGTGATGCAGTAAACACCTTATTTGCACATCTCTTAAACTTTTTTTCCCAGTACCCTTTAAAGTCAGATTTTATAGTGCAGTTTATGTGGGAAACGGGAATAAGAGCGTGAGGAAGGCAGCTGTGGGGAGAGGGAAGACGCGCCGAGTTCTGACTCAGTCCTGAGTTCGAGTTTGAGCCCCATCGGGCATGAAATGTGTGATATGGGACAAGCCACGTAGCTCTTGTGAGGTCCGTTTTCCCCAACGGGTGAATGAGAGCGGAGAGGTCAGGGCCCACAGCGGGCTGTCGGCAACGGGACCAGGCCGGTAAGCGCCAGTACCTGACACAGCCAGGGGCATTGGACGGACTCTCCGTCACTGTTCCGTGGGGAACAAACGAGTATTGTGGCAACACTTAATATTTTCCCTGATTCCTACTTTTTAAATGCTTGAGGGTACTTTTCTGAACTGCATTTATTTGTGTAGACTCTGGGAAATTTAACTGAACTGCTACTGACCTGTCTGCAGACAGATGCTGGATGTTTCTGTTGTGATAAATACCATTTTTGTGTTCAGACACATGCTCACTCACCGCTTTCTGTGCTTCATGTGGGGTTCAGAACTGCGGGGGGCACTGTGCTGCCCCTCCTCGCATGGCTCGCAATCCCACTGACGAGCACGCGTGTTAAAGTAAGCTGGAGGACCGGCGGGTGTGACTGAGTGCCAGGTGGGTGGTATGCAGAGTGCTTTCAAGTCCAGAGCAAAGGGAAAATTAGCCTGAGTTGGCCTTGACAGAAAGACCTTCACGGAAAAGATGAAAGTTGAGCAGACCCTTCAAGGCTGGGCCTTGCGTGTTTGGAATAAGTACAAGGGGCGTTAGAAGGAAGGCACTGTGAGTGGCGGTCACAGGACAGAGCGGCCCCCGGCTTAGTTAAACGCGCTCTCCTTCCGGAAACGCTTTTGCCCCTGTCAGCCGCGATCCTGGGTTTCTCCCTGGGCCTTTTTATTTGATTACTCTTTGAATCCCTAGCTCCATGCGCAGTACTTGACACATGGCAGGTGCTTTAGAGTACGTGTTCATGATGCCGGACACCAGCCATCCAGATAGCATCCTTTGCACGTCTGCGTTCTTTTCGCTCATCCATGGCAGTGGGCCATAGGGAAGAGGGAGATTGCCCTGTAGGGGTGACTTGTTGCCCCTAATCTCGTGACTGCTGCTCTGCGTGGGCCCTTTTTGTAAACGTGAAAGCTCCAGCCTTAGGATCCGTCCCCTAGGGCGCTTAGAAGGAGCCTTCCTCGGTAAATCGCAGACATAAGACACGTGAAGGAAGGAGCTGGCCTTTCCCGGACACATGCTGCGTGGGTCCCAGACATGCATGACTTCCTTTAATCTCGAAGCTCCGTAGAGATAGCTCTTCATAATGGCACAAATCA